AATCTAGATTTAAACTGACAAGAGTGTGTCTGCCTCCCGAACAACGCTAGGTAGATTATTCCAGAGTTAAATAGGAAAAGGATCTGCCGCCCGCAGTTGATTTTGATATTCTTGGTATTATCAAATTGCCAGAGTTTTGAAAACGCAGCGGACTTGAAGGAATAGGTCGCAATTTAGATATATTTTTGAGATGGAAAAATGCAGTTTTACAAATGCTAGAAATGTGGCTTTCTAACGAAAGATTGCTATCAAATAGCACACCTAGGTTCCTAACTGATGACGAAGAATTGACAGAGCAGCCATCGAGTCTTAGACCGTGTTCTAGGTTATTACATGCAGAGGTTTTTGATCCGATAACACCTCTGTTTTAAAACAAACATTAAAGATTCATTCCTGAATATAATTGTTCGTTTGTGCTAATTAAGCTGACATGCGCTGACAGATAGTTTTCATCAGAAATCTATAAAGCTTTTGCTTCCATTCTGATGGTGTTTGTGGCCACCAAAGGCTTTGCTTCAAAGCGTCTCGCAGTCTTCTGTCTCTCCAGAACGTTTCGGCTGCTATTTACGGCTCGCATTGCTCTCCTACTGCGCCGGGAAAGCGCTTACATTCGTTCACTCCAGCAAACTTCATCCTGGAACAAAACTACAAACCTGCAATTAAATAATAAGACATTTATGATCTGCTAGAGCTTTAATGATCAAATTAACTTACTATAATTACTGTTCAAGGAGTGTTATTCAATGCCTAATGGCGATATTAATGAAATAAAGAGTTAAAAGTCATGTTAGCAGATATTTTTAATGTGCGTTTAAACCAGCAAGCTCTCCTCAACAATGCATGATTTGAGGACTGATGTAGCAAGCAGCACTAATGATTCATTTTAAACTATATAACTCGGTGAGGTTCGGTCTGTATGCTGAGTTGTATTTGAAGTCAGAGGAGGAAATAATTGCTGTCTAGGGAACAATTATCTCCTCAGACGTCTTGTAATCGTCGGTTGTTTGCTCCAAATTTCCATACCGTAGCATTTCTTTCTCTCACATTAATAGTGCAGGTTTGATTTGTGCTGCTTGTGTTTCTGCTGAGTCACGTCATGCTTATTTCTAACTAAATAGAATGCAAAAAAAATTGACTTTTTTGTCCGTACTATAAAAGTCAGTGGGGTTCAGTGTTGTTTGGAAGCCAATTAACTTTCATTGTGAGTGAGATGTGTGTTCGTGTGCAGGAGTTCACACGTGTGTGTTTGTTCTTGTTTTTCGGCAGCGATGTGCTTGTTTTCGGAGCAGACGCTGGTGGAAGGACAACGCTGTTCTGTTCATCATCCCACCGCAGGACTCTGCCAGCTGTTTGAATGCAGGGTACAGATCTCTCCAAACACTGCTGTAGATTTGCACACAACTCAACAGTTTTGAAGTATTTACATACTGTTTAGCAGAATTTAAACATAAGTATTTAAAAGTACTAACATTTTACAAAATAAATAACATTGTATTTATATTTTATTTACGGTTACAAGAATATAAGTATTTATATAGTGTTAAGTAGTATAAAAATATAAAAGTAGTATATGTTTAGTAATTGTGTATCTATCTGCAACTTCCTAACATCTACCCAGAAAACTCTAGCAACCACACAGATTACCCTAGCAATCACCTAGAGTACCCTAGCAACCACCTAGCAACCACCCAGAACACCCTAACAACAGGCTAGGAACTACACAGAGTACCCTAGCAAATGCCTAGCAACCACCGAAATCACCCTAGCAACCGCCTAGCAACACCTTAGCAACCACCTATAACACCCAATCAACTGCACAGCAACCACCTAAAACACCCTAGCAACCAGACAATGTACACTAGCGATCAACCAGAGACTATAGAAACCACCCAGAATACACTAGCAACCACCCCATAACACTCTAGAAACTGATTAGAAACCTCCTAGAAACACCCTAGCAACCACACAGTGTACCCTAGCAACTGCCTAACAACTGCCTAGGAACCACCCAGAGTACCCTAGCAACTGCTTAGCAACCACATAAAACAGCCTAGCGACCACACAGTGTACTTTAGCAATCACTTAGAATACCCTAGCAACCACCCATAACACCCTAGCAACTGCATAGCAACAGCCTAGCAAACCACCCAGGGTACCCTAGCAACTGCCTAGCAGAGTACCCTAGCAAATGCTTAGCAACAACCTAAAACAGCCTAGAAACACCCAAGCAATCACCTAGAGTACCCTAGCAATGGCCTAGAAACCACCCAGAACATCCTAACAACCACCTAGGAACCACCCAGAGTACCCTAGCAACTGCCTAGCAGAGTACCCTAGCAAATGCTTAGCAACCACCTAAAACAGCCTAGCAACCGCCTAGCAACACCCTAGTAATCACCTAGAGTACCCTAGCAATGGCCTAGTAACCACCCAGAACATCCTAACAACCGCCTAGGAACCACCCAGAGTACCCTAGCAACTGCCTGGCAACCACCTCAAACAGCCTAGCAACCATCTAGCAATCACCCAGAGTACCCTAGCAACTCCCTAGCAACCATTCAGAACTATCTATCTAAATAAATTTTTTTAGGGCGAATGATAAACAGTTTCTTTCCTTGACGTTTTTTTCCTTTGTCAGGATCGTACGATGCACAGAGTTCCGAGCTCTGAAGACTGTCCGCAGCTCACCTGCGCAGAATCTGATCAGATCACACTGACGGACAGATGCTGCAGAGTCTGCAGAGGTACAGGAGCACATCTGCTTTTATTCTGAACGAAAAATCTCGGAGAAAAGTTACTTATCGTTACAATACGTACTATGGACCTTTTTCACATTTCCGGGTTTCTCAGCAGCGGAAGTCGTCATAGTTGGGTTAACTTGAAGAGCAGTGAATAGGAGAGTATCACAAATATAAAACGATTAATCGCATCCAAAATAAAAGTTTTTGTTTACATAATATATGAGCGTGTACTGTGTATATTTGTTATGTATATATAAATACACACACATGCATGTATATATTTAAGAACAATATGTTATATATTAAATCTATTTTATATAATATAAATTATATGAATATAAATATATACATGTAAACATTTTTTAAATATATACCTTATTTGTGTGTATTTATACATGCATAATAAATATACACAGTACATTCATATATTACGTAAACAAAAACTTTTATTTTGGATGCGATTAATCGTTTCACAGCACTGTTATAAATGCACACACATTAAAAAAAAATCTAAATATAAAAAGTTAAGCGTGTCGTCACAGTCTTGTCAAAAGGGTCCATAGACAATAATCGGTGTGTAGCTTGACCTTTAGCGCGACAGTGTTTCAAGAAGCATGAGTCGATGAACACCAATCTCCTCTGTCTGGGGTCAAAGGTCACGACTTCTGCGCCGAGGAGAACATCTGCGCTGAGAACTCGGCCTGCGTGAACTTAGACGCCGGCGCCAGCTGCAGCTGCAAGAACGGTTTCCGGCCGCTGCGCGAGGACAGCGCCTACTGCGAAGGTGAGCCGTCAAGCAAACGATCCGCCAGAGAGTCCCTTACTGCAGAACACGTGTGACATTTGCATGCGCAGACGCTGCGGGAAACCCATCGTAATTACAGCGCGCTGGGAACAGGAATTTAACCGCATTAGAGCCGCCGGCTGATTTTAATATTCCAGGATATACATTATTATTCCAGGACATGTGTGTAATGACTCCTCTTGTGATAATTGGATTTTTCTGCTGGTAAAATGACGCAGAATCGAGTGTTGGCATAAAATAGCTCGCGCTTAGATACTGATATAACACGTACGGCTTTTGGGTTTGAAGCTTTTGAATTTAGCACAATTTAGTATTACATAAAAACAAGATATACATTAAATATTATTTATAGTAATGTTAAATTAATATTAATTTTATATAATAATGTTTTATAATTAATATTAATAAATATACTATTAATTAATCATTAATTATATAAAAAATATATAATGTAATAAATGACTAATTATTTAATTTTTTTAATAAATATAACATTATAAACATATATAATAATAATAATTATTATTATTACACAAACATAATATAATAAATTAATTTAGTACAATTCATTGTAATGTGATATAAATTGTATGAAATAAAATTAATATTAAAGTCATATTAATGTCTTACAATTTATAACAATAAATATTAAATATTAAATATAATATTATTAAGAAATTATATTATTATATTATAAATGTAACACAATAATAATATAATTAATTTTGTACAATACGTCACATAAAAATATAATATGTAATATAATAAATATTGCTAATTATTAATAATGTAAAACTAATATTCATGTAATATTGTAATATGTTACAATTAAAATTATACCGCTTTGGGAATTGAAATTTACTAATTTAACATTAATTTAGCACAATTTAGTATTACATAAAAAACAAGATCATTATAGTGAGGTTAAATTTATATTAATGCTATGAATAAGTATGAATAAATATAAAACAGTAAATATAATATTGATAAAAATTAATATTAATATATTATAAATAAATAAATATGATATAATAATACAATATAACAGTTTAGTACAATTAATTATATTACAAATGTAATACAATATTATAAATTCATATTTTATAAATATAATAAACAATATAAATAAATATGATATAATAATACAATATAACAGTTTAGTACAATTAATGATATTACAAATGTAATACAATATTATAAATTCATATTTTATAAATATAATATTTCCACGACATTCTAATTTATTGAGATGCACCTGTATAATGAAATATATAACACAGTATGAAAATTCAACAATAAGAACTTTGCCTACGATAATTTTTATGAGTGTGTTGTCAGCGCTCATGACGTCTGATGTGCATTCGTGAACAAAACTGCTGCGTGAATATGAAATACAGTACACTGACATCTATCTGTTGCTTTTTCCATCTGTCAGATCGCTATGCGATTAGTTTGACTCATTAATCATCTCATCTTGTTATTCTATCATTAATTCAGTGACATTTCCGAGTTGACTGACGGCTCTAAAAATAAAGAATTCTCCGTTATCTGTGTTGGTTTTGATGCACATGACTAATTAACCAAGTGGCATTATTGATGCACGACTAGAATCCGTCTTGCTTCGGCATCTTAATTGGCTGCTATTGCGTACGGCTGTGAGTAAGTCACCAGTGTCTCCCTCCACCTTCCTCATCCTGGTTTTCCCTCTCAAAGCCGAGCCGAGCCGCGGATGGCCTACTTTCGGTGAATGCCTAATGACTCGGGCCGTGTTTCTGGGGACACGGCGCCCCCGTCACCTCCCGCGCATCAGACGGATCTCTAATGAAACCTGTTCATCTCGCCGGCTAAAGATAACCTCACGTGCGCGGCCGGTCAGGTAATTATCAAAGACCGAGACGATCTGAATAATTAAAGATGCTATCAGACACAGCGAGCCGGACGGTCCTAAACGATCCAGCGGAGGGGAGAGCAAGAAATCAAAGAGTTTTGAAATAAAGCGGCAGCAATATAAGCCATGTGTAACCCAGAAACGGATTGGCCGACAGTGTCCCACTTCCACACTCATTTGTCACCTCTTTCTGTTTAACCTTGCTGCTTGGGACGCAACACCTGCTGCTGAGCTTTCCATCATTCGCTGGAGGACCATATCTGCTTTTAGCTTGGCAAATTCTAGCTCTTTAATGCAATAAACGTCCTCTTTTTGGACGACATTTCATAGTTAGAGCTGGCCGAGACGACCACAATCACATATCAATTTTACCAGCTATTTTTTTCCTGCTAGAAATCCAATTTAAAATGATTTTTAAAATGTTTGATGGACTCAAATCAAAAGATCAGGTGATTCCTATCAAATAAATAAATCATAAATAATTATATATATATATAGTATTAATTAAATATGTTTTGGAAAAATTTGGAAATTCTATTTAAAACAATTCTTATATTAAATCATGTTTTAACCCGTTTATTCCCAAATTTGTCCCAGAAATTAAAATATCCAAATGATGTGTCATTAGTAACCCTTTGAAATAATCAATAATTATTATTATTTATTTATTTTTGAAAAGTGTGTGAAAAATAGTTTTATGGTCTGTCACAATTGTGGATAATGTGTATAACGAATTAACATATTTCTGCAGTCATAAAAATTATTATATATCTTAGCCCATCTATTTTAAACTGTTTGATCACATTCTAATTATAATATGTATATTTATTATGCATATATAAATGCACACACATACAATATATATTTAGAAAATATTTACATGCATAAATATATAATTATATAATTAATATATAAATACATGTAATATATAAACAAAACATATTTTTCTTAAATATATACATGCATGTGTGTGTATTTATATATACATAATAAATATACACAGCACACACACATATATTATGTAAACAAAAACTTTTATTTTGGATGCAGTTAATCGTTTGACAGCACTTTTATATAAATTATATATATATATATTTATTTAAATAAATAAATATTTATTCAAGTTTATTTATTTAAATTCACATTAAAACTCTTTAGAATGAAAGTACGGTAAATTAAATATTAATTAAATGATAGGAATAAAATAGAAATAATTTTTAAACATAAATATATTTATTAAAATATTTTTAAATGAATATTTTATATTTTAAGTATTTTATATTCATCAAAATGTATTTTAAAATTGTATTTAAATAAATAATTGTGTATAGAGAGAGATAGAGGAGACGCATTTGAAGCTGCTTCACAGGACAATGTTTTGTCGTGTAAACCTCATTTCAGCTGATATTGACACGATTGAGCCGGATAACCCAAACAATGCCCCACAACCGTCAGGAACCTCATGCTGCTGTTGTGAATCAGAGCATGCACCGTTTCATCAAACACCCCAGAGACACAGACGAAACTTTCCCACCGCCGTCGTCTCACGCTCTCCAGCATCCAGAGCTTCAGAAACACGTCTGCTTTCTTCATTATGCAGGCAGCGGAGCGCCGGTCTCTCTCAAGAAGCATGCGTGGCTCTTTAAAGGCGTCATGAGCATTGGCTTCGGGTTAAAAATAGCGTAGTCTGTGCTGATGAGATCGGGCCCGTTTCAATATTTCATGCGGGAGGTTGTAGGGCATGAGCTCGAGGGAACAGTGCCGCTTCACGCTGCTTTACTGCATGATAAAGCTTCGGGAGACTCTGCTGGACTGAGAAGGAGAAGAGCGAGAGCATAACACTCAGAGTTACAGTCCATCTGATCTCAAACACACTTCACGGACATCATGTGGAGACCAGCAGGACTAGAGTGTGTACAACATTCAGCTTTGGTGCTCTCATGCTTTCGGCAGTCACACATCAACCTGTTTTATGAAGAATTGAATGTCATTTAATTATGAAAATGTGTAATTAATTCATTTATTGCAATAATAATAATAATAATAGTATAGCTCAAGAGTATGAGTATCAAGAAAAGCACTACATAAATGTATTGAATTAATTAATTAATTTAAATTCAGATTAGAATAGTTTAAAATATGTAATAAAGTATTTTATATTTATTAAAATGTATTATATATATATATATATATATATATATTAATACATTTATTTAAATGTATTTCCATATTTATTTAAATTCACATTTCAACACTTTAAAATGCATTTACATTACAAATAAATATAATGTAAAATTTATTGAATTGCAAATTACAATAGTTTATGTATTAATTAAAGTGTTTTCTATTTATCAAAAGCTATTTCATATATATATATATACACACACACACACACATTTAATTATTTAATTAATTAGAATTCACACTGTAACACTTTAAAACAAAAATAGTATTATATTTAGTCTTTGTAGAAAATGTAATTTTGATGGTATTTTTATTGGCAGCCAATAATCAATAATGTTTTTAGTAGAGATAGGAATTGTGATTAAAGGTTTAATGATAAAACTTAGTGAATTACGCGTGTGTGTCATGAACGAGGCACATCGAACGTCCGACTCTTATATTATTTAAATATATATTCTAATATTATTGATCATTTTTAAATATATTAACATTTTTTCCTTTCAGACCGTCCTTGTCAATGAAAAACAAAAAAATGAAGTAAAAATGCAAAAAATAAGAAAACGAATTATTGAATCAATACATTTTGTTTGTTTATAATTTTATAATTTGCACCATGTCAGCTGCCAGGGCTATATTGTTGGCGAGAAATAACAGAAGTAAAAATGAAAACATTTTACAAAAGGCTAAATGATTAACTAAATAATGAGAGAAATCAATGCACACATAAACAAACAAATAAATAAATGGCATCCTTTTCTTTTCATACTCTCCTTGTAAAAACAAACAAACAAAACAAGTAAAAATGCAAAAATTTGAATTAAGTCAATGAATAAATAAAAAAAATATTTTCTTGGAATAAAATGGAATAAATAATAAATAAATAAATAAATATATGAAGATGTTTGATCATTCTTTTTTTTTATTACTGCATTTTTACTACTGTTTTTTACAGGGACAGTATGAAAAGAAAAGGATTCTATGTATTTATTTATTCATTTTTATTTCTTTACTTAATTGTTTATTTAATAA